GTTGTTAGAAAACAACAAGTACCTTTTAACGTCTCTTGGTCTGACGCGGCCGGGAATTGAAGCCGATTCGACCAAAGCATCGTCTGAGTTTGAATCCCACCTTTTAAAATATGCAACGCTTTGATATACACAATACCATTCATGCATCGACCCCCAGGAAAGGCATGCTTGTCACAACACATTATTGGCAACAAGTAATGCAGCCACGGTATCAAACAAACGCCATTCATTAACTTATTCAGCACCAGTACAGCAATATCACGACAGGGGACACCAGAAACGCGCCGACAGTAATGTACCCTGCTATGAGGTACACTTTTGAGTAACGCCATACAATGGACGTCATGACGCTGTTCACGATAACCCGTGATCTCACATTTCCATTCTAGTCTTTCCTGTTTGTGTCCCGGGGATGACGTCTGTCACTCGCTACCGGACTTATCGGTTCAGCGTCCTCACGTTACAACTGCACATCATGGCCAAAAACTTGGTTGCACTAGTTGAACTTTATCTAATTAATTCACATTTGTAACCTGTGATCACGGCGACAATAACTTGTTCAATAGCCCCCATTTTAGCATATGCAATAACTCCTCTTTTAACACCTGCAATAATACATAAACGAGCATATATTGGCGTCTGTATGTCTTTATACTCCTTGCGTGATGTATTATTGATGAATATAGAGTCAATGCAAATCACAAACCTAGATCAGAATAATACATATTCTATACCAGCAATGTTCAGACCATTTACGCGCGTGCGTTCGTGCTTGCGTGCGTGCGGGTAAACGGGGAGGTGTATCTTTTCTTTTTTTGAAACATGATATATTGTTTGGTCACTGATTAGAAACATGGAATATCAGGGTCAGTCCCTTGGTGATCTAGATCGAATTTGTTAATAACTGTCCTCTGTAGGATCTGTAAGCCGTACTTCCTTGAACCTTCCACTGTCTGTCAACTGACCGCCTCCGTGGTCTAGTGGTAGAGCGTCCGCCCGGAGAGCGGAAGTTCCTGGGTTCGATCCCCGACAGCGTCATACCAAAAGACGTTAAAAGATGGTACTTGTTGTTACCCTGTCTGGCGCTCGGCATTAAGGGGCTAAAACAAGGACTGGTCGGCTCGGAGTCAGTATACTGTGTTCATGTTAAACTGCGGCATGGTATCTCAGTGAGCTAGCACTATAAATCGGCATCATTCCGGACTAGTACAAGCAGCCACACACACACACAAACGTACATGTACATGCACGTCGCTATATAAGTGCAATAATCTTGGACGCGACGTTAAACCCCATTTCACCTTACCTACAACGCTTGTCTTCATGTATCCAACTACATTATCAGTTTCCTAAATCATTTTTGTGCTTTATTTAAACTGGAGATAAAATAAAATCCAGCCCAGTATATGTGTGTTCAATCAATAGTGCATTAGTGGCCGCTCCTCCTTGTCTTACGAGTGCTGGCGTCCTTGTGCGTGAGGGCGGGACGTTATTCGCGTGGATGATGTTTTACCCAATTAATACAGTTTGAAGGGAATGCCGTGACTTGGAGCATGTTAGTTTAGCCTTTGTTTAAAAGAGATTCAGTTGTATGACCAAATCTTGTTTTATAAGTGGTAGTCAGTTTTAGTTTGGTTTGTGATATACTGAAGAGCAAAAAAACTATACTAAACTATAAGTTAGCGATATTATATTTAAAAAAAATTAACATTCGTCCTTCAAACCAAACGTTAATTTTTTTAAACATATTTTGATTAAAAGTGTAAAAATATCTTTACGTATAATACAATAAAAATAATTATATTAAAATTACAATACTGGTGATGCGTATCATGGACATGTTATCCCCGAAAATCAACCAATTCCCTCTTTTCGGCATCAATTTACAATTCCAAGATGGTTGGGGGGATGTGGTTGCAAGTTTATTACTTACCCCAGTCTTCATTGAACCAATTCAATTTGACACAATATTACACAGCCACAGATTTTGTTTTACAAACTGAGTGATGTCTGCAAAAACGTTATCAAATTTAACAACATTTCTGTGAGTGTTCAATTTATTTTCAGTTTATATGAGGGACATGTTAGTGATCTTCGTCATATATTTGCTGGACTAATTAGGATTAATGTTGATGCGGCTTTAGCAATATTCGCCTACTGTTTTTGACTTGGTAGGCATTAACAAAATGAACTAATTTTGTTAGTATCAGATCAGTACATTCATTCAATTTTATTGCTCATTAAGACATGATTCTTTCCGATGTGTAAGTGGTCCTCTAACTCTTAAACGTACCTCTAACATCGTGATGTGTTCTCTTTAAAATACAGTGTAAATCCATCCGAGATTATCAATGTAGACATTGCTCTCGTGAATAACGGTAGGTAAACGCTCACACAGAATGACATTGTTACATGCTTCAGAACCACACAGGCCGAACTACTATTCAATGTCATCAGGAGAAACATGATCTACTGATTTCGAAGAGAAATCTTCAAATGTATTCCTATCTTTATTTGTGTGTTTGTTTGGTGTTTAACGCCGCACTCAGCAATATTCCAGCTATATGACGGCGGTCTGTAAGTAATCGAGTCTGGACCAGATAATCCAGTGATTGACATCATGCGTATCGATCTACGAAATTGAAATACGATGACATGCATCAACCAAGTCAGCGAGCCTGACCACCCGATCCCGTTAGTCGCCTCTTAAGACAAGCATAGTTGCCTTTTACGGCAAGCATGGGTTGGTGAAGACCTATTCTACCCCGCATCTTCACGGGTCGGACTCCTATCTTAATGAAGGGAGAGGTGTCATGTTTTGTTTTGTTAACATCGTTTCTTTATCTGTAAACTAGATTTCCTATAAATAAACTTCGATAAGCAGCAATTTCGCGATAACAAAGGACGCAATCAGTTGTAAATGGTACCTTTACCGCCGATGTCATGCGGTACACGGAAGTCATCTGGTGCAAGGGGGTCGCATGATTCAGAGAAGGCACCCTTTTTCTCCTGAAGTGTCCTATAGATTAATTGTGGTTAGGCGCTTGTGGTAGCAGCACGACTCATATACCGAACATGGTGGTGGAAACATGGTTGCACGTATCAAACAAATGAAGACCGTCACTGTCATTGTCTCTTAAGATCATTACACAGTTTTCAGCATGACTAGTCTAGGTGACATCTTACATTCAGACAGTCTTCTACCAAAACACTCCTTGTCACGTGATCCAAACGTACGGTTGGTTGGTTGGTTTGTTGTTTAACGCCGCACTCAGCAATATTCCAGCTATATGACGGCGGTCTGTAAATAATCGAATCTGGACCAGACAATCCAGTGATTGATATCATGAGCATCGATCCACGCAATTGGGATCGATGACATGCATCAACCAAGTCCACCCGATCCCTTTAGTCGCCTTTTACGACAAGGATAGTCGCCTTTTACGGCAAGCATAGTCACCTTTTACGGCAAGCATAGTCACCTTTTACGGCAAGCATAGTCGCCTTTTACGACAAGCATAGTCGCCTTTTACGACAATCATAGTCGCCTTTTACGACAAGCATAGTCGCCTTTTACGACAAGCATAGTCGCCTTTTACGACAAGCATGGGTTGCTGAAGACCTATTCTACCCCGGAATCTTCCCCAGAGTAATCTCTGTTCCGGGGTCCTTCCAACGTTTCTGTTGTGCGCAGTCACCATCGCCACGTCTGGGGCCAGGGACATGCATATAGCAACATGTCTGACCTCTGTCAGCTCTTGACCTTATCCTCATCCAACGCTCCTGTGTGCCATGGCAGCAACTGGAGATACTAACTGCCTGGATCTCTCACCACAGAGGTCATATGATGTTAAGATCAATATCGTTGTTGGCAGGCTACCTGGTTGCAGTGTAATTTGTGGGGATAATCTGTAGTTTGTTTGTTTGTTGTTTACTGCCGCACTCTGTAATATTCCAGCTGTATGACGGCGGTCTATAAATAATCGAGTCTTGACCAGACAATCCAGTGATTGACATCATGAGCATCGATCCACGCAATTGGGATACGATGACATGCATCAACAAAGTCAGCGAGCCTGACCACCCGATTCCGTTTGTCGCCTCTTACTACAAGCATAGTCGGCTTTTACGCATAGAATGGATTGCTGAAGACCTATTCTACCCCGGATCTTCACGGGTCAGAATAATCTGTAGAAATTTGCTGAAGAATAAAGATGATCCAAGTGATCTTAAATACTTTTTGTATGAAACGATCACGACTGTAAACACATTTGTCGTAAAAGAATGATTCGGGTTGGTGCAAGTCCCTATACTCCAACGTTTGCCGTAAGAACCGACTAAACTGAATCACTCGGTCAGCCTCTGTGTCAGGACCCTGTTGGTGTCATTAGAGGGAACGCTGCACATGCTTTCAGTCAGTAGGTTATCTGTTCGTGACCCGAAGATCTACAGGTCGCCGTGATGCAGCTGGCATATTACTGACGCTTTCAACAACGCTCATTTATTCATAACACATTATTCCAAGAAAAGGGGCACTTTGCGGGAACGTCAAATGTTCGGATGACATTCTAACCACCCAGACTGACATTCCAACCATCCAGACTGACATTCCAACCACCTAGACTGACATTCCAACCACCTAGACTGACATTCCAACCACCTAGACTGACATTCCAACCACCCAGACTGACATTCCAACCACCCTGACTGACATTCCAACCACCCAACTGACATTCCAACCACCCAGACTGACATTCCAACCACCCAGACTGACATTCCAACCACCCAGACTGACATTCCAACCACCTAGACTGACATTCCAACCACGCAGAATGTCATTCCAACCACGCAGGATGACATTCCAACCACGCAGGATGTCATTCCAACCACGCAGGATGTCATTCCAACCACCCAGACTTACATTCCAACCACGCAGGATGTCATTCCAACCACGCAAGATGTCATTCCAACCACGCAGGATGTCATTCCAACAACGCAGGATGTCATTCCAACCGGAGGTCAGCATCACCAGATTGGCCCATGAGCCACCGCCTTCTGGGCATAGGGCTCTAAGCAAGTTTTATAGTTTTAGACATATATTGAAGACATTTAGAATAGGTTAAATGATGACATTCTAACCACCCAGACTGACATTCCAACCACCCAGACTGACATTCCAACCACCTAGACTGACATTCCAACCACCTAGACTGACATTCCAACCACCTAGACTGACATTCCAACCACCCAGATTGACATTCCAACCACCCTGACTGACATTCCAACCACCCAACTGACATTCCAACCACCTAGACTGACATTCCAACCACGCAGGATGTCATTCCAACCACGCAGGATGACATTCCAACCACGCAGGATGTCATTCCAACCACGCAGGATGTCATTCCAACCACCCAGACTGGCATTCCAACCACACAGGATGTCATTCCAACCACGCAAGATGTCATTCCAACCACGCAGGATGTCATTCCAACCATGCATGATGTCATTCCAACCACGCAGGATGTCATTCCAACCACGCAGGATGTCATTCCAACCACCCAGACTGACATTCCAACCACGCAGGATGTCATTCCAACCACGCAGGATGTCATTCCAACCACGCAGGATGTCATTCCAACCATGCAGGATGTCATTTCAACCACCCAGACTGACATTCCAACCAACCAGTCACCCAATTCAACCACCCAGACTAAAACCCCGAACACCAAGTCCAACATCCACACCATCCCGTGACCACCATGATGCGACATTCCGACCACCCACTCTGGTGTTAGGAAGATTTTTATAATGAATAATTTGTTCAGAAATATGCCAAAAATGAATAGTTTGAAGGAAGCGGTGAAAACATGAATAGTTTGTTTTGTGGACATTATCCACACACAAAAAAGTGTGCCTATTGTGAAACTGAATTGATTGATTGATGGTGCCCAGTAAACACATAGTTTGTAGGGAGCAGCTGGGACAAAAAAAGATTGCTTTCAAAGTACCCCCACTCCTCATCAAATCAACAAAGATTACATTTTATGCATAACATGAGATCATATCATCTCTGTATTCAACAGTTATATGTTGAAAGTAGTTTAACCTTTTCAATTCAATGTTTGCTCTATTAATTTCAGAAACAAATCTAACTTCAAAACACAATTGCTTTGATTGCTATCAAAATGTTCGGGATCACTTTTGATAATTTATCCGTCCTTTTTTAAACTCGAGTTTTCAATCTTCCAAATACAACTTATTCTGATGTGTAATGTCACATCCTGAAACAAACAAATCACAATATATTATGCCTACAAATAGTCGGTTGTTAATATCAGTCTCCCTCTCGTGTCATATACTGTTTATCTTACAACGAGAAAAGCGAGTTGGATACATTTTGAAACAACTAATTATTGTTTAATGTGAACCGTCAACGCCAGAGAATAAGCAATCTCGATTAACCGATAAATGGTATCTGACAGTCACTCGTACAGTAATATCTGTTAGAGCCATTTTGGATTAAAAGTTGCCATGTTCCATGTGGGTAGGCTTACGCGAGCTTCTTGTTATCAGCCAGACTGTGTTTGATGCTTATGAATGATTAATCTAGACTCGTTCTTGATAAGGACCTGTGGATTGCGCGAAAGACAATCACAGACAAGTTATTTCTGTACTGTACAGTGAGGTGAGGTGAAATGGGGTTTAACGTCGCGTCCAAGATTATTGCACTTATATAGCGACGTGCATGTACGTGTGTGTTTGTGTGGCTGCTTGTACTAGTCCGGACTGATGCCGATTTATAGCGCTAGCTCACTGAGATACCATGCCGCAGTTTAACATGAATACCCCACTCAGACACAGTATACTGACTCCGAGCCGACCAGTCCTTGTTTTAGCCCCTTAATGCCGAGCGCCAGACAGGGTGACAACAAGTACCATCATTTAACGTCTTTGGTATGACGCGGTCGGGGATCGAACCCCGGACCTTCCGCTCTCCGGGCGGACGCTCTACCACTAGTCCACGGTGGCGGTCTTGTACTGTACAGAGATTATCTTCGTCACGATATGGCTGAAATATTGCCGATGTGACGTAAAGCATAAACTCACTCAGAGATTATCTTGCAAAACTTTGTTTACTACAATATTGTGTTCATCAAAACTTTCAAGTTTTGGGCCTTTCCTTGATTTGACCCACTACCGCCATTTTCAGTCTAAATCAAAGTTGTTTCTATGGTAACTCGAAAAATAATTTTTAAAAATCCAAACTATCAAAAGGCACCTGTTGGAATTCACCACCAGTCCTATCTATGTGCCAAGTTTGGTGTAGAAATATCGCACGGTTTTCAAGATATGTTCCGGAAACGAACACTACCGCCATTTTTAGTCAAAGTCAAAGTCGTTGCCATGGAAACTCGAAAAAATAAATTTAGAAATATCCCAAATTATCAAAAGCCACAAATTCACCACTAGACCGATCTATGTGCCTAGTTTGGTTAAGACATCTCTCAGGGTTTCTGAGTTCTGATCCGGAAACGAAGCTTGACGGACAGACAGCCCCATTCCAATATCCCCCTTCCACTTTGTGGCGGAGGGTAATAATGACTGAGCAGCTCATCAAACGCTGGTAGGGGCTCCAAAGGGGTAGGGGGTATTTTCTGATTAATTTTTCAGCCACCTGTCATATATGACAAATCTTACAAAATTGTGGCACATTCTGATGCAAGCTAGGCCAGAAGATATCAGCTGAAATCTTATCACGTTTCGTTAACCACAATCTGGTAAAAAAACCTTTCCATCCAGAAATGACCTTGTCAGTCTCATCGGAAGAAAGTAGTCAGCACGTGAGTAATTTCATCACAGAATCTTTATCACGTTATGAAATGAGCTGCGTCTGAGAGAGTACAGGTGGCGCCCACGGAAATGAGCTGCGTCTGAGAGAGTACAGGGGGCGCCCACCGAAATGAGCTGCGTCTGAGAGAGTACAGGGATCGCCCACCGATATGAGCTGCGTCTGAGAGAGTATAGGTGGCGCCCACCGAAATGAGCTGCGTCTGAGCGAGTACAGGGAGCGCCCACCGAAATGAGCTGCGTCTGAGAGAGTACAGGGAGCGCCCACCGACATGAGCTGCGTCTGAGAGAGTACAGGTGACGCCCACCTAAATGAGCTCTGTTGCTCGAAACACAAATACTCTTACTTGAAGAAAAGTACCAGCAATATCTAAAGTGCAGTAGTATAGATGATGGGGATGCTGGCTTACCTCACCTGGACCAGGCCAACAATGCTATCTGGGTCTAAAGTTTATGAGGACCATGTGATGACGATCATTAATTTGTCATGTATGGTGTCAATATTTATAACGATGCCATCCTTTCCTCTTACGACAAATTGATCTAATCTCCTGCTTCGTTGTGTTGTATTTGTTGAGTTCTGACAACACTAAACAAAACTCTTCCTCAGAAATCTTGCCATCAGATTGTGTTGTTATGTGATCCTCCATGCTATTTAACTTTGCTTCAGCCAACACATGAATACTACCATGTTTCTTTTGAAACTGATGAGAAATGAAGTTAAGATCTATAATTCCGGTCAGTCCAGAGGCTCCAGCTGCTATTATTATTCCAAGTATGATAGGTGCAGCGATTACAGTTGATGATAAACACCAGCTGCACCAAGCCCTATCGAGCCTAATCCATTTATTATCATCAGTGCGGATCATATTGTACAAAGTGTTTCTTTAGTCTGCTATCATCTACATCCTTTAAATATCCTAGATTAAGTGTTGTGACATTGGTGCTGTAATTATAACTTGGGTTCCACTTGTACACATCTGGTAGGTGTAAAGCATATAACTTGCCCTCGATACCAGGTTAATCAAATCACAAAGATCACAAAGTGCAATTGTATTACATTGTATAAGTTGATGCGGTCAAGGACCTACAGAGAACCTACCATTCCTTATAATATGGAAAGACACAGTGAAATATCCCATATGTACAATCTCATGTTTTATATCTAATACAGAAAGTTTGAGCTCTGTGATAATGCCCTGTCTTAACCTCCTACACTGTAATGATGAGAAAAATTATGTTCTACCACTATTCTGTTTTTTTTATATCTTTGACTGTAACAGTTGAAGGACTTCCATATTAAATATTATCCGTTGTAGATCAAGATGGATGCACAGGTCTTTATTGGGAACCATATCCTGTAATTTAACCCCATGCACTGTTGTGTCAAGTGTCACTCCTTTCCTTTTAAATCCAAGTGTATTTGCTAAGTCTCTATCAAGTTTTATAGAATGTAACATTAGAATTCCTTGCAGAAATAAGTGCACCATTACCACAGGATCAAGCATGGAATGCATAAAATAATACGTACATGAACGTATTTCTGGTGAATTTGCTATTTCTACAAATATAGATTGGCGTCTGCATGGAGTTAACCATGGTCTAGGTTTTTATGTACAGTTGTTCTCGCTCTTTGAAAGAAGTCAGCGATGGAAAAGTGGTTGTCTATGACAGTACTTTGCTCTCTAAGGTGACGAGTGGAGAGATGATCATATTAACTTTAAGGCTGGTTTTGGTTTCACCGTCCAAAAGGTTGAGCAAACACAAGATGCCGAAAATGCTTGGAATAAATTCATTTTAAATAAATCAGGTTTTATCATCCTGGTGTTAGAGACTTAATGATTCAATCAGAACTTATGCACAATCATGTAAAAACATCATTAGTGCGGGTACAGCGTTTGATGCACAAAAGCAGTTTACCGAGAACGTAGAGGATGTTATTTTACCTACCCACGATACCTATCAAGCGATATCAACATGTACTACAGTATGATGGTTCTAAAGTAGACTGTTTTTGGAATAGGTCTGTATAAAATGAACAACATATCAATGAAAAAACAGCGCTCATAGCAGGTGGTGGCATAGCAGGTTTACTTATGATTTGGTCAGGTAGTCTTTTGCGGGCAGCTACATACAATAGCCCCGCAATTGCTACAATAGCTGCCCATAAGTTTTGACTTAGCAAAGTAGCAGTCTTGGCTAATAAATTCAAGAGCCAGGATACGATACTCCCTATTATACTGGGAAGTGCAGACTCGGTTTTCCAAGCGAGCTTTGCTAGAGCTTCTCCTAATGCCTTTAAATGATTTTTTATCCACTCGTTTACACCATCCTTATCACTTGACGGTGTAGGGGTACCACCGCCTGTAGCATCACATCCTGTTAATGCGAGAGCCAGAGTTAATATAATAAATCCCAATGCAGTTAAAATACTGGTATTGGTTATCCCATGTTCTCTGAACAATGTTTCAATTCTTTGGTCCAGTGTAGTTTCATTATTGGTAACTTGATCAATAGATTGTCTACTGAATTCATCTTCTGCCTGTATAAGTTTTGTTTTCTAATAAGCTATATGCATGCTTGTCAAGTTTCATTTAGCTTGGCTATATTATTTTGCATTCCAAGGATGTATTCTAAGGATGGTGCCTGTAATGTAAAATTATCATTTACTCAAGACCATCTGAAGCCTCCTTAGCGTGTTGTGGTATGTTTTTCAAATTATCTTTGTCTATGGCAGCCGATGTTGCTGTCCGCAGTCCGCAGTCCGCAGTCCTCAGTCCGCACTTTTTGAAGAACCTTAGTAGTCTTTGCAGATTTTTTGCTTGTGAGTTATAATTTCATCGTGTACCAACTGCTTGAAGTCTTCCTACAAAATAGGTGCGGTTGGGTAGCCTACTGGTTAAAGCGTTCACTGGTCACGCCAAAGACCCGGGCTCGTTTCCCACATGGGTACAATGTCTGTATGACGTGATTTCTATCTTGATACGCAAAGGTTAAGCCTGAAATTGCTATGCACAGAACTACATTGTTAAATGAGCACATTTTCCATAAAAGTCAATGAATAATCAGCACACAGTATTAAGTCTAACATCACAATAGGCAATACAATTTGTCAAAAAACTGGCAGCAACAATAAGAAGTAGGCCCTCTGTTCATGGTGTTGCCTGTCTCTGTTCTTGAAACCAGAATGATATTGGAATTTGGCAAGTAGGCAAGAATTCGGTGGTTACAAATGAGTATCAAATCTATACTATACAGATTATCACAATGTATAAATTTTCCTGGTGAAAAGCTGTTGGTGAACACGTACACAGGAAGGAAATTGTGACATCCTTCAGAACATCACAGGTCACGATCCTATTCACCGTCATTAGAAGAAACAAAGATTTTTATGACAGATAGGTTAAAACGTCGTCTTGTCCTATGGAAAGGAAAGTAGTTATCATTTGTTTATTTAATACTTTTTCTTCATCTTTTGACTCTACGATAAGCAGGAAATCGTTCGATAAAAAAGATGCAATCAGTACTCTTGTTGTAAATATACCCTGTACCAGAGATAAGGATGTCAGATGATACACGGTGGTTGTATGAGTCTGACTGAGCAGCATTTCCCAACTGAAGTCTCCTGTAGCATCAATGCGAGTAGGCACCAGTGGTAGCAGCACGAGTCTTGTTGATGGAAACATTGTTCTACTTCAGCAAATCCAAGTGTGCTTTACATTCGAGCATTGTGTAGCTGGAGATCGTAACTCTCAATGTAACATAATTTGTAGTAAGCATGACTGGTCTTGCAACGTTTCTGTTCGTCATCCTGAAGGTAGGACAGGTAACACCTTACATTCAGACAGCCTTCTACCACAGCACACCTTGTCACGTGATCCCAAATTACGGAGTAGTCGCTGTTCCGGGGTCCTTTCCGACATATTTGTCATGCGCAGTCTGCATCGCCATGTCTGATGCCAAGGCCCATGCATACAACAAATTGTCTGGCCTCTGTCAGCTCTTGACCTTATCCTCATCCAACCCTCCTGTGTGCCATGACGGCGACTTGGGATTCTACCTGCCTGGATCTCTCACCACAGAGGTAAAGTTTTGATTTATTTCTTTGTCTTTTCCTTTGTTGACATGTTGACTGGTGGAGGTGTAATTTGTGGAGACATATGTTGTTGATGTTTTTTTTAATACTTAAACACAAAGTATTATTTATTTATCTATAGAAATACATTTTAATATGAAATCATAACGACTGTGCATACTTTTGACTTAACAAAATGATCCCAGGTGAACTTAGTGGGTTAGAGGGGTGTAAAACATTGCTTTCAGTCAGTAGGCTATCTGTTATTTTAATCAAATAAATTAAATTAGATTAAATCACATATTGACAAGCCATCGTGATATAGTTTGCTCTATGCTGTGGCTTTGAACAACGTTTCACTCTTTACCCATTATTTGAAGAAAAAAAGGACTTTACGTGGGGCGTCGGATGTTCGCCTAATGAAAGTTCCTAGTCCAACATCTCCACAACCCAGTCTGCCATCCAGAACACTAACTTTGACTTTCAGACCACCCACTCTGACCTCCAGACCACCCAGTCCAACATCCACACCACCCAGTCCGACATCCAGACTACCCACTCCGACATCCAGACTACCCAGACCGACATCCACACCACCCACTCCGACATCTAGACTACCAAGACCGACATCCAGACTACCCACTCCGACATCCAGACTACCCACTCCGACATCCACACCACCCACTCCGACATCTAGACCACCCACTCCGACATCCAGACTACCCACTCCGACATCCAGACCACCCACTCCGACATCCAGACTACCCACTCCGACATCCAGACTACCCACTCCGACATCCAGACCACCCACTCCGACATCCAGACCACCCACTCTGACATCCAGACTACCCACTCCGACATCCAGACCACCCACTCCGACATCCAGACTACCCACTCCGACATCCACACCACCCACTCCGACATCCACACCACCCACTCCGACATCCACACCACCCACTCCGACATCCAGACCACCCACTCCGACATCCAGACTACCCACTCCGACATCCAGACCACCCACTCCGACATCCAGACCACCCACTCCGACATCCAGACCACCCACTCCGACATCCAGACTACTCACTCCGACATCCAGACTACCCACTCCGACATCCACACCACCCACTCTGACATCCAGACTACCCACTCCGACATCCAGACCACCCACTCCGACATCCAGACTACCCACTCCGACATCCACACCACCCACTCCGACATCCACACCACCCACTCCGACATCCACACCACCCACTCCGACATCCAGACTACCCACTCCGACATCTAGACCACCCACTCCGACATCCAGACTACCCACTCCGACATCCAGACCACCCACTCCGACATCCAGACTACCCACTCCGACATCCAGACTACCCACTCCGACATCCAGACCACCCACTCCGACATCCAGACCACCCACTCTGACATCCAGACTACCCACTCCGACATCCAGACCACCCACTCCGACATCCAGACTACCCACTCCGACATCCACACCACCCACTCCGACATCCACACCACCCACTCCGACATCCACACCACCCACTCCGACATCCAGACTACCCACTCCGACATCCAGACTACCCACTCCGACATCCAGACCACCCACTCCGACATCCAGACCACCCACTCCGACATCCAGACCACCCACTCCGACATCCAGACTACTCACTCCGACATCCAGACTACCCACTCCGACATCCACACCACCCACTCCGACATCCAGACTACTCACTCTGACATCCAGACTACCCACTCCGACATCTAGACTACCCACTCCGACATCCAGACCACCCACTCCGACATCCAGACTACCCACTCCGACATCCAGACCACCCACTCCGACATCCAGACTACCCACTCCGACATCCAGACTACCCACTCCGACATCCAGACCACCCACCCCGACATCCACACCACCCACTCCGACATCCAGACCACCCACTCCGACATCCAGACTACCCAGACCGACATCCAGACCACCCACTCTGACAGAATCACCAAAGGAAGTCGATCTTGTTATCATGACGACGCACGGATATGTGTTGTTCTACAATCTGGAGACAAATAGTGCGTTGTCTGAGGAGAGGCTGGACTTCCCTGCTATAACACACATGGAGTATTGGTGGAAACAGAAGACGTTGTTGTTAGTTATTGGCGGGCAAATGACGTTTGTATCTCCGATCACGAAGGCAACTGAGAAATATAAGCACAAAGGTATGTATTTCTCCTCCGCTCTGTCAGTCACTCTCTTTCCCTCTGTGTCTCTTTCACTCTATCCCTCTCTCTGTCTGCCTCTCTCTCTACTTCTCTCTTTCTCTCTCTCTACCTCTCTCTTTTTTGTCTCTTTCCCTCTTTCTCTCTCTATCTCTCTGTCTGCCTGTCTCTCTTTACTGCCCCCTCTCTTTCTCTCTCTATCTCTCTCTGTGTCTGCCTCTCTCTCTACTTCCCTCTCTTTCTATCTGTCTATCTCTCTCTCTATCTCTCCCTCTCTCTTTCTCTATCTCTCTGTCTGCCTCTCTACTTCTCTCATTCTTTCTCTCTCTCTCTCTCTCTCTCTCTCTCTCTCTCTCTCTCTCTCCTATTCTCTCTCTCTCTCTTTCCCTTTGTGTCTCTTTCCGCCTTTCTCTCATCTTCCCGAGGCAAGTGAGTTAGCTGACTATAAAAGTCCAGTTTCCACCCTTACCGAAATAGGCTGGTATTATGGAGTTCCATTTTGGCTGGACTAACGAGTCTATGCATAGTCCAATCAAAATCGCGCACCGAAATCGAAATCCGGTTCGTAAAGTGTCATGCAGATTTCGGTCGACTGCAGCATTTGCAAAACATGTGCACTGCAAACTCGTCAACAAATATTTTCTAAATCTTTTCATGTTTTTAATCAAGGTGCTCACGTGATTTGATGCACTTCGCGATGTAAGACTCGTTTTATCACAATATAGATCTTGATTATCGATCAGATCGTCTTGACTGGGCGCCACCGTTTTGTTTGAAGCAAATGCAAGTGATACGAGAGGTTAAGTCTGATTGGTCAATAGGAGAGGCATAGAAAGGACATAACTCGCAATAGCCACTGGTGGCGCTACGATCGAGCCCAGGAATTCCAGCCTAGTTCGGCAAGGGTGGAAACTTGACTTTTAAAGTCGGTTAACTCCTTGCTTCGGGAAGATGCCTTTCTCTCTCTATCTCTTTCTTTCTCGTTCTCTTCTTCCCTCTCTCTCTCTATCTCTCTCTCGCTTTCTCTCTATCTCTATCTCTCTGGGGTGGTAACTTAAAAAAAGGTTCCGTGTCTGTCGTAGTAATCAGGTATACTTCCATTGTCATCTTTCTGTAGGGGCGGTCGGGTAGCCTAGTGGTTAAAGCGTTCGCTCGTCACGCCGAAGACCCGGGTTCGAATCCCGACAATGTGTGAAGCCCATTTCTGGTGTCCCCCGCCGTGATATTGCTGGAATATTGCTCAAAGCGGCGTGAAACCATACTCACTCACTCACTCATCTTTCTTTATGAGGGGAATAGTATAAGTTATACAAATACAACACACTTGAACACAACCAATCCAGTGATTGACATCATGAGCATCGATCCACGCACTTGGGATTGACGACATGCATCAACCAAGCCAGCGAGCCTGACCACCGATCCCGTTAGTCGCCTCTTACGACAAGCATAGTCGCCTTTTACGGCAAGCAAACCCCGGATCTTGACGCTTCTTCTAGGCAAGAAGATGAGAGGCCCCAAGCGACGTGTACCTATCTTGAGAGGCATCTGAATGGATCGGGTAGTCAGACCCAGTGACTTTGTCGGTTGCATCAACCACTGGATTGTCTGGTCGAACCTCGATTCGTTACGACCTTCTTCACACACCTGTAATACCAAATGGCTAGATATGCGCTGTCACTTACAGGACCTTCTTCACGCACCTGCAATACCTAATGGCTAGATATGCGCTGTCACTTACAGGACCTTCTTCACTCACCTGTAATACCTAATGGCTAGATATGAGCTGTCACTTACAGGACCTTCTTCACGCACCTGCAATACCTAATGGCTAGATATGCGCTGTCACTTACAGACCTTCTTCACGCACCTGCAATACCTAATGGCTAGATATGCGCTGTCACTTACAGGACCTTCTTCACGCACCTGCAATACCTAATGGCTAGATATGCGCTGTCACTTACAGGATCTTTTCACGCACCTGCAATACCAAATGGCTAGATATGCGCTGTCACTTACAAGACCTTCTTCACACAACTGCAATACCTAATGGCTAGATATGCGCTGTCACTTACAGGATCTTCTTCACACACCTGCAATACCTAATGGCTAGATATGCGCTGTCACTTACAGGACCTTCTTCACTCACATGCAATACCTAATGGCTAGATATGCGCTGTCACTTACAGACCTTCTTCACACACCTGCAATACCTAATGGCTAGATATGCGCTGTCACTTACAGACCTTCTTCACACACCTGCAATACCTAATGGCTAGATATGCGCGGTCACTTACAGACCTTCTTCACACACCTGCAATACCTAATGGCTAGATATGCGCGGTCACTTACAGACCTTCTTCACACACCTGCAATACCTAATGGCTAGATATGCGCTGTCACTTACAGGACCTTCTTCACTCACATGCAATACCTAATGGCTAGATATGCGCTGTCACTTACAGACCTTCTTCACACACCTGCAATACCTAATGGCTAGATATGCGCTGTCACTTACAGACCTTCTTCACGCACCTGCAATACCTAATGGCTAGATATGCGCTGTCACAGACCTTCTTCACACACCTGCAATACCTAATGGCTAGATATGCGCTGTCACTTACAGACCTTCTTCACGCACTTCAATACCTAATGGCTAGATATGCGCTGTCACTTACAGACCTTCTTCACACACCTGCAATACCTAATGGCTAGATATGCGCTGTCACTTACAGGACCTTCTTCACTCACATGCAATACCTAATCGCTAGATATGCGCTGTCACTTACAGACCTTCTTCGCACACCTGCAATACCTAATGGCTAGATATGCGCTGTCACTTACAGACCTTCTTCACTCACCTGCAATACCTAATGGCTAGATATGCGCTGTCACTTACAGGACCTTCTTCACGCACCTGCAATACCTAATGGCTAGATATGCGCTGTCACTTACAGACCTTTTTTACGCACCTGCAATACCTAACGGCTAGATATGCGCTGTCACTTACAGACCTTCTTCACACACTTCAATACCTAATGGCTAGATATGCGCTGTCACTTACAGACCTTCTTCACACACCTGCAATACCTAATGGCTAGATATGCGCTGTCACTTAGAGACCTTCTTCACACACCTGCAATACCAAATGGCTAGATATGCGCTGTCACTTACAGGACCTTCTTCACGCACCTGCAATACCTAATGGCTAGATATGCGCTGTCACTTACAGGACCTTCTTCACGCACCTGCAATACCTAATGGCTAGATATGCGCTGTCACTTACAGACCTTTTTTACGCACCTGCAATACCTAACCGCTAGATATGCGCTGTCACTTACAGACCTTCTTCACACACTTCAATACCTAATGGCTAGATATGCGCTGTCACTTACAGACCTTCTTCACACACCTGCAATACCTAATGGCTAGATATGCGCTGTCACTTAGAGACCTTCTTCACACACCTGTAATACCTAAAGGCTAGATATGCGCTGTCACTTAGAGACCTTCTTCACACACCTGCAATACCTAATGGCTAGATATGCGCTGTCACTTACAGGATCTTCTTCACACACATGTAATACCTAATGGCTAGATATGCGCTGTCACTTACAAGACCTTCTTCACGCACCTGCAATACCTAATGGCTAGATATGCGCTGTCACTTACAGGATCTTCTTCACGCACCTGCAATACCTAATGGCTAGATATGCGCTGTCACTTACAGACCTTCTTCACACACCTTGAATACCAAATGGCTAGATATGCGCTGTCACTAACAGACCTTCTTCACACACCTTGAATACCTAATGGCTAGATATGCGCTGTCACTTACAGGACCTTCTTCGTCAGCTACATCAGAGGACCCAGCTTTATCATTAGGGAGACCTCATACAGGGGCAAACGTCGCTCAATTACCAAGGCACGTGCACCAGCTACATCTAGGTTTGCTGTGTCCAAAATGGGTAAGAATGAGTGAGTGAGTGAGTTTGGTTTAACGCCGCTGTTAACAGTATTCCAGTCAAATCGCGGCGTGTCAGCTTAATGTGGGAGGAAAGCCCGAAG